TAGGGTTTTCAACCCACAATAATACAATTATTATGTTCAACATCAAACAATCAACCCAATTACCCATCCCCTTTATCTTCTTTACTCTTAAGGATCTTCCCTAAGATTCAGCTATTCCTCGTTCATTCATTCCTAAGGAGTATCCTAAGGAATCGGCACTAAGTCTGCATAGTCGCCAGGGTTTATCTCATTAATTGACAGTATCATTTTCGAGAGTCCACTCGCAATACATGTCAATGGGTTTTTTAGAGTACACCGGGTGAACACATCGTTCACAACACCTACAGGTTGCGAGCCTGCTAGTGTTCCACTAAATGTCTAGAATAGTCCGTGGTTGTCATCCATACTCTGCTAGATGACGGAGCCATCGCTTGGGTCATCGTTTGGCTCATCGTTTGGCTCATCGTTTGACTCATCGTTTTTGCTCATCGCTTTGGCTCATCGTTTTGGCTCATCGCTTTGGCTCATCGTTTTGGCTCATCGCTTAGGTCATCGCTTCGCACCATATTTTATCACTCATATATCATCTCATCTTTCATCGCTCATCATTTATCTCATCTTTCATCGCTCATCATTTATCTCACCTCTAATCTACCCATGTTTTACCCAACACATTTTGTAGATATAAAATACATATAAAGTTTAGATCATTTAAAACATGTATAAAATCGTTCATCCAGCATAGATAACAAGTATACAAATAATATGCACACATAGCACGTAATTTATATAAAATACTTCATATCTATGTGTAAGATGAAAGTAACTATGCACTCACTTGTTAAGGTGGTGATTCCGAACTCAGACAGCGCTTCGCTTCTTAAAAATAATTTCCTTCGACGAAACCTAGTATTATTACCACTAGATTTTAGTCTAATATTTACCGTGACTAATTATTAGTCTTATTATTATTATTATTATTATTATTATTATTATTATTATTATTATTATTATATAAGCGTTTAAACAATATTTTCCAACCACTATGTACAGACAGGGCCCAGACATAAAACACCGGAGGGTAGGACCAATTTGGCATATATCACTTCTGAAATCCAACAACCCTATGCGGCCCTTTAAACCAGATTCCCCGTACCGCGAGTAGTTAAAAAGATATTATAACGACACTTATATAAGTCATAATAATAGCCCAAATATTTATTATAAGTTCATAATAACAATACTAATTTTAAATATAAGGTATATTTAAAATAGGGTAAGCATAACTTACTTACATGGGGGTTTTAGCTAGGAGTCGAGCTCTGCAGGGGAAGAAAACTTCGTCGCTGAATCTTTCTAAGAAAGATTCGTGCAGCGCTTCAGTGCTCACCTTACTATACTAAAATTACAGAAAGAGAAGTCGAATCACGAGGGACCGAAATGCTCGGGGGATAAGAAGAGAAAGACTCTTGAATCAAGAGAATGGTGCAAGAAATATGAGAGCCCAAAGCTTTTATTTATAGTAATTGAATTTTCAAAAACTACCCTCATAGTTACTTAATGACCTTATAGTTATATAAACAACTAAACACACCCTTTATAATACTATTTTAAATAGATTTAACGATATTAGTACTAAACTAATGTCGAAATTATTCAACATTAGTCTTATAATGACCGCATCGTCGATACCTTTCTAATGATATATACATATGTATATATATGTGTACGTATATATGATTTATACTTTATTTTAATACGTAAATATGTTATTATAATTTGTAACTCATTCATACGAACTCTGTTTTTGACGCTCTTTATATCCACGCGTAGGCGGAGACGTACTCTACAACTTTCATTTAGACTCCGTCGGCTAATTTTGACTTTATTTTTAAAGTTATATTTTTAACAGGCTGGGACAGGAAAAGTCCGTTAAAAATTCATAACTTCTTCATCCGACGTCCGTTTTCGTCTGTCTTTTTACCGTTGCGCTACTATTAATGAGATCTTCAATTCTCATTTAGGTTGTGTTGGCCAAAAATCGATCGATCTAAAATTCGAATTTCGGGTTGTGCACTGCTATGCCAAATCTTAGAAAAATCATAACTTCCTCATACGAAGTCAGATTTTGACGTTCTTTTTATGCACACTCTTGGTTTAACGTATATTACAACTTTCATTTAGATATCTAAGGCTAAAAATTAGTTTATCAAAAATTCACTTTTTACGTTACGCGATGTCGTGCCGGTTTCGCCGTAAAACTTCGACGGGCCATAACTTCTTCGTTATAACTCGGATTTCGGCATTCTTTATATATACGGAACCCTTGTAACATATACTATAACTTGGTTAAGATTAATCCTTCTAAATAATCTTCTATCAAAAACTTATTTTTGATGCTCATTGTCTCTAAATTGACTAGCCCAGATCTGCGGGCGTTACAAATGGAGGCCAGGGTTTCGTTGTTAGGGTTAGAGAGGATGGAGGCTGAAGGAAATGAGGGTTAGAGGTGAGTTAAGGTCTTTAAATAGGATCCAAGACCCTAAATTAGGCTTTTCATCTGACCTACGAACGCCCAACGTTCCCAACGAACGCCCTACATTCCCCAAAAGTGTCCACGTCCATGTCGCCCATGAACACCCCGTGTTCCTTCCTGGTACGCCCCGCGTACCCGGTTTGGTCCAAAACCCTTCTAACTTCAAATGATCATAACTTTTGCATCCCTTATCCGTTTTCGACGTTCTTTATATCCACAGAAAGGTAACAAGAAGCCCTACACTCATATTAACTTACCTTTTCCTGAAAACCAATCAAACTCAAATCCAAAATTCATAAAAAGCCCGAACCAACGCTTTTACCAATACTATTGGGCTCTAAAACACAAACTGAATACCCAGATCATACAAATTACATCATCCACCTACAAATGAGCCCATAACTCAATTCTTCAAGGGTTCTAAGTCTGGTAATACCCACTCCTTGATCACCATCCCGCAATGGGAAATGATTCGAAATAGGGCGTTACATATATTTTAAGTGATGTAATTTTCAATTTAATTAAATGAAATTTTATTTTTATAATATTTTGTTGTTTAAATAAAAATCTAAATGGCATGTTGAAGATGGTGCATGGGAAACCAATATGATAGTGTTGTGGTAGACAAAAATTAAAATGATAGTACATTCAATATGTCATTCCCTCTAGCCTAAATAAATTATGATCATACTTATCTTCCAAACTTGGGCAAAATTAAGGATTCAACTATAACAAAAGATTATTGAGCATCAAAATTGACCTATTTTAAAAAGATTTTTATTATTTACTTTATTTTGCCCAAACTTAAATGGAAACAACTGTATCTATTTTTATGACAAGGCGAATATGATATGGAAAGATATTCTATTATATATATAAGTCCATCATCTTGCACCCTATTTACGTAATGTATAAATGTATATGCTATTTTCTTATCAGGGCCGGTTCTAAATATTCAAATGATCTTCAAATACTCAGGACAAGTCAGAAAAAAAGGCTTTTTCGTTATTATAAGTTATAAGCAGCTGCACAGTGCTCAACTTTTTTGGGGCTCAAATATATATATATATATTATATATATATATATATATATATATATATATATATATATAATATATATATAGGCTTAGGATATTCTATTCAAAGAATTATTGTGTTATTGTATGTAGGGATGTGCTTCGGGCCGGAACCGACCCGAACCCGAATAACCCGAAACCCGAATTGGACGAAAAGTGGGAACCGAAACCCGGACCGATTATACTAATATGGGACGGTTCGGTTCGGGTAATACGGGTTTCGGTTCGGTTATTAACCCGAAAGGACCGAAATAACCCAAACAAACATTTACACTATGTTTTTGAACCGAATAACCCGAATAAACCGAAATGAACTGAATAACCCAAATAAACCGAAATGACCCGAATAACCCAAATAAGGAAATTCTATATTTAGTTCAAGAAAAAAATATTAAATTAATGTTTTTTTTTCTTGAACTAAAAATAGAATTTCCTTATTTGGGTTATTCGGGCCATTTCGGTTTATTTGGGTTATTCGGGTCATTTCGGTTTATTCGGGTTATTCGGTTCAAGTGACTATTCACTTTCCGGGTCGGTCGTTTTGGCCCGATTAAACCTTTATTCCGGTAACCCGGACCGAAAAACCCGAAACCCGAATTGAGCAAAAATAGATACCCGAGAACCGACCCAAATAACTTATTCGGTCCAAATTCGGGTCGGTCCGGTCTGGGTTTCGGTTTCGGTTCGGGTATTCGGTACAAACACACATCCCTAATTGTATGCATAAATGTGGGCCAATCAATTTTAATTATTTTAAGAAAGTGATTAATATATATTTTTGAATTAAATATAATTGAAAAATATCATCTAATTTAATTACAAGGGTATTTTAGTCAATTAATATATATTTAATAAAGGAAAATTGCATATTTTAATGGATCATAAATTCTATTAATTTTAAAAATCCGATTTTACGAATTATAATTCTTTTTAATTCGGACATTCTAACAGAATATGTTTATGGGTATATATTCAAAAAATAAAAATATTCTTGAACCATAAATAATAAAAATATTCTTGAACCTATTTCTTGATCATGACTTTAACAACTTCTTGTAGAGTTACAAATTCTTGAACAATCAATTGAAGAATAAAAACAAAAAATACATAATTTCTTATAGAATACGGGTAACAATTGTTAAAAATTACATGAGAATGTTACACTTATTAATAACAAAAAAACACAATATATAAATCATTCTACCAGAATATACTATTACATATATTTTTTTCAATACATTGTATATTATTATGGTAGAATAATCCATTCTTTTTGGAAGATTGGTGGTCATTGTTCATCTTCATCCCATATAATGTTCATCTTCAAGATTCTATTCTGACAGAATCATAATTCAAGATTCCATTCCAATAGAACTGGAATTCGTGATTCTATCCCGATAGAACTGCAATCATAGAAAATACACAAATCACAAAGGAAATATCGAGATTTAATTCCCACAGAATCGGAATTCGCCACCATTTGTAGCAGTGCAAATATGATTAAGTTCTTCCAACTTGCTCTTTACTCGATTCCTCTGAAATTAAACAGCAGCAAATAATAAGATTTGAAACTAAAAGATCTAAGCATTACCAAAAAACGTACAAGGATATTGTATCCTGAAAGCAATAATCTAAGAAAAGAATCTGACACTTTACGACAAATAAATTATTTCTCTCAGACAAATTGTCAAACACCTGGTGCTCACACACCTACACATCATATTAATAACTGTACCACCATTCAAAAGCTTGTAATTTACTTGTCTTGAACAAATCAAGAACTTATATAGAAACACACCTGTTGCATACGACCAAGCTTGCTCCACACCTCTCTCGTGAAAAAAAATTGTAAAGGGTATATGCGTATGAAGATTCGTGGTATCAGCTGCAAAAGAAGATAAAAATTCAAAATTGAAACAAATGCCATACCACAGCTAACCAACAATACAGCAAGAGAGCCAAATTTAACCCTAGTTGATAGTTTTTTCATCTCAGGGAGAACAAATCTTGTTGAAATCGTGTTGTCGACCCCACCAAAAGCTGTCAATTTAAATGCTCGATTGAAACGATAAATAGTTGTACATTGTGTCTACAAACAACCCCACTCAATAGGTTAAAACAAACTAAAGATTTTTGTTTGAAAATAGTAGAATCGAATCATTGAGAAACCAATTTGGCAATTCCTAGAGAAAAAAAAAATTAAAACTTACCTGATAGAGAAGTTGTGTCGCCGTTGAAGTCGCAGAGGGGACAAATGGAGAATTGCGGTTTGATCGAGAGCGAATGGGGTTAGGGTTAAAGGGGAAAAGGGACGGTAGATCTGAAGAGAAGATAGAAGGAACTAATAAGAGATGAGAAGGATGTTGAAGGCGTCTCGGGCTAGGTGGAAGAAGGGGAAGATAGCGGAGATGATGAAGCACTCACCGGAAAAGCTTGAAATCGCCGCTCCTTTCCTCCTATCACTTGTCGTCCTATACTTCATCTGTTTTGGAGCTAGGTTAGGCCGTTAGGGAGGATCATCCTAATTTTGAATGAGATAAAATACATTAGTTGTTGATTGTTTTAAAAAAGGATAAAGTTAGGTCAAAGTAATTACCATAATTATAGGAGTGTACTTGTAGAAATTATTTATCAAATTACTAAATTACCCTTATTTATTTGTTTGATTATTTATTTATTTTTTAAATTTTGATTGGTCCACAATCAACCATACAATAACACAATAATTACTTTAAACACCTGAACCTATATATATATATATATATATATATATATATATATATATATATATAGATATATATATATATATATATATATATATATATAGGAAAAGGATCAAATGAGAACACTTAAAAGGTTGAGAACGCGAGAACACTTCTGCACCAATCATTTTACAAGGATATATTAGTAATTGCGTGTTTAATTTAAATTATAACAAATCTTAATCTCCTAAATTTTAGCAATATTAATTACAGTTACTTAAAATAATAGATTAACCGATTTTTTTTAATATATGACAAAAATAATTTTTATTAATTTTTTGTTAAAAAAGTAATTTTTTTTATAAATTTATCATTCATCAGATATTATATGTATAAAGATTGAAAAAAAACATTTTTTTCTTTTGTATTCATAAATGAACGAGAAAATACATTAAATTAATTTTTTTTAAAGAATTTTAATTGATTTGATTATGTTAATCATGAAGGATTATATGTAACAATAAAAGATGGAATGAGTAAAGCACCATAAAAAGAAAATAACTAAAAATAAAAACTCAATTCAGTCGTAATCATAAACGTATAAAGTACATTTACCAATTCAAAAAACCAATACATCTGGAATCAATAATGAATAAAGGAAAATGTAAAGATTAAAAAAAATCTAGTTTAGTTGTAATCACAAATGACTGAAGAAGATAAAAAATCCAGTTTGCTGCGATTTTTCTTGTTGCTACCAGCACACACAAAAACACAAAAACAAAGAAGGATCATTGTTATTCTTGGGTTCATACCTGCAAAATCATGTTCAAGGATAAATAAGAAAAAATCAGATAATAACGTTATGCATCTTCACTGATTCACAAACGAATATATGTTTGTCTTTTGATGGCAGAGAAAGGAAAACACAAACCCTATATCTTTCATTTTTGGTGTAATCATATATATAAAAGTGCAATATTTTACTAATAAAGTTTTCAATTGACCGGTATTTCCCAAAAAAAAATGACTATGAAAAAAACTTTTTTAGTTTTTACCATAAACCTTATAATGAATAAAGATTTATTCATGTATGATGATAACTAAAATCATGTATGATGATAACTATAATCATGTATTAAGACTGATGAATAAATTGAATAGAGCTGAAAATCATAAATGATTAACATTGATGAAATAAAATCTATTAGTTTTTATCTCCATTTCATAACCATTAATGAATTTTAACATATTTATAATTGAATAGGATTGAAAAAAAATATAAACTCTACCTTAATGACGGTTTCTGTTTTCTCTTTCTTTTTAAGCAGTTGCAAAGCTTCCTACTTTAGAACCTTCAAAAGCTCATTTTCTTCCTTCTTAGCATTTCCAACTTCCTCTTCTTTAATCTGCTTGTAGACGTCCATTTCTTGAGTATATTGCTTGTTCTTCTTCTTTGCCACTTTTTCATAACCTGCTTTTTGCTTGTCTGTCATGTTCTTCCATTCTTCTCCACAGATTTTAGCAATCTACCACCACCAAGTTATGAACCAAACTCATTAATTAGTTCATTATAAAAGAACACACATTTTTTACTAAATAGATTTTCAAACTCAAATTACCTCCACCATACTCTTGCTTTCTGCAATAAGAGCAGCTCTCTTCTCTTTCATAAACAAGAAATACGCAGACTCTGGTCGCTTTGGCTTCAATGGATCTTTCTCCTTCCTGTACGTAGAAAATAAATCCATAAACCATAGTAATCTTCAAGAACTCGATTCTTGGAAAAGGGTTACCAAAAAATTTGATTTTTGCTTTAAATCTTGAAAAGGGTATCAAAGAACTTGATTTTTTTGTTCAAATATTGTAAAGGGTATCACGGGACTTGAATAAGTAGATAATTACTTGTTCTTTTGGTAATCTCCCTCTTTTTCTGCTTCTTGTTTAAACTGCATGTATTGTTCAAGCAACTCCATAACTGTCTTCTGTTTCTGTTCTTCTTCCAAAAGCTTCATAGCTTCACTTTCTCTTTTCTCATTATCCATAATTTTTAAATAAGTAGCCTTCTCAATCTGATACTTCTCTTCGTACGACTTCTTATCTTCGGGGGTGAGTGTCTTCCATTTCGTCCCCAAAATGTTTGCGACTTCACTGAACTCTGCTTCTGGATTCTCTTTCTTGACCTGTAAAAATCATAAAAACCCCATGATGTTATCAATTTATCTAAGCTTAGATGTTTTACCAACAAAATATAAGATAAAATTAAAGAAAAAGGATTGATGCTTGCCTCGGTCCAATGATCGTTACATAATCTTCATATTTCACAAAAGATCCAACACTTCAATCGCAAATCTGAAAAAAAAATGAAAAATAGGGTTGCGTTTTTTTCTTTGCCTCTGTTCTTCAGATTTTTTTTTACAAAAACCCTCTGTTCTTTAGTTCTTACACCCAGCTTCAGGATACAAAAATCGTTGTTCCTCGGTCCTTTTCAGATCAATGTTAGGAGAAAGAAACATCCTAGCCCTGTGATCGAATGAGCGTAGAAACACGCATAACCATCCCATGTTCATCATCTTTCTCCTTGACATGTATGAAGAATAGTAGAAAATATCGTATTTATCTCTCGATTTTTAAGAGCTCTTGGGAGATCATAACTATACACACAGCGACGGCTGGAATGAGAGGATGCCGTAGGGTTCTGTAAATTGCAGAAGAAGGGGGTAGAGAGAGAGAGAGGGAAAGATATAGAAAGAGAGATCGTAGGAGTTGCTAAACATAGGTTAACAATCAATTACCGTTATACCCTTATGCCAATTTTAAAGTTACACTTAAATTCCTATAATTTTAAGAATTTACATAAATGACCCAATCGATAATAGCCTTAGATTTAGTTTTTTAAATGGTTCAGATATGTTCTCGCATTCTCAGTCTTTTAGGTGTTCTCATTTGATCTACTCATATATATATATATATATATATATATATATATATATATATATATATATTTGAACCCAAAAAAATTGAGGATATAAATACATACATACATACATGAGATGAGGGTGACGGGTTGCCTATTTTGAACCACCAAAAGACAATAATGGCTAATTGAGAAGGCTTAAAAAGTATTAATGAATTTAGAGTGTGTGTTTATTGAAAGGTCTCCATCAAAATTTGCTACTTTCACAATTCACAGGACTCCTTCCCTTAGACAATTACACATGTTCTTATCCATCAAAACGCAAGTTATTAATCTAACTTTTTTTAATGATATTTTTGCCTTTTCACCATCTTCATTTTCGTCATTCTATTTAAAGAAAAATGAATTAGGTATCAATCCGTATTTCAACTCATCCCAGTTTGGTCGTTAGATAGTTTTCAGATTAGATGAATCAATTGAATTTTTAATTTTCATCTCCAATGTATAACAAATTGACATGTTTATATGTTAACCACTGCCATGTGATGACGTAGACTATAATTTGTTCTATTTTGCTGATATTGAAGAAAACGCGTAATCAATTTCACGAGCCATTAACTTTTGTTTGAAAAAGAAACTAAACACTTAAAAGTATATTAAAAAAAATTTCATAAAAAAACCTAAAATTATTATGTTTTTTTTTATTTAAACTAAGAACTTTATTTTATTTTTCAACTAAAACATACGAATATTTTAAAATTTTAAAATTTTGTTTTATTATTTGGTTTGTAGGTTAACTTTTGGTAGATAAGTGAGAATGTTGTATTTTTTGGGGGACTTTTTTTTAACCAAAAAATCAGTGGCGCAATTAGGGGTTTACACGAGCCGAGCCGACCCCGAGCCTGACCAAGCTCGAGCTTGACTCGTTTAATTTTGAGGAAGCTTGAGCTCGATACGAGCTATAAAATGAAGCTCGAGCTCGGCTCGTGAACAATTTAGTGGGCTCGCGAGTAGGGGTGTCAAAAAAACCCGAACCCGACTAACCCGACCCGACCCAAACCCGAATAAGGTAATTAGGGTCGGGTTTAATAGAGTCAAAATTTCTAATCAGGTTATTCGGGTTAACCCGACAAACCCAAATTGAAGTTAAGGTCGGGTTTAGGGTTATTTTTTTTTAAAAAAATCGGGTTTCGGGTCAACCCGAATAACCCGTTTAACTAACAGTTTGTACAGTACAACACTTTATAGCTATTGTTATTCTTCAACTTTATTTCTCTTCGTTTAAAAGTTAAATCATATCATGAAGACAAAACCTTCATTTTTTTCTCATCGGGTTGTCGTAAGTAACAAAATAAACAGAACATTTTCTCGAAATTTACATTTTCAGTCCTTATATTAATAAGTGATTTATAAAAAAGATACAAATTGAATTCATCTTACTTTCCACGTATAACCTATACTAACAGCATAATGAATTGAACATTTTTTTTAGCAATTTACATATTGAGTCCTTGTACTATTACTTGATTTGCTCAAATGGAAAAACATTAGTCTGACTTACATTTCAACCCGATTAACCCGACTAACCCGACCCTATTAACTCGTAACCCGAACCCGACTAACCCGTACCTTAATAGGGTCGGGTTTCGGGTGAAATTTTTATTTTTGCAAACCCGAAACCCGATCGGGTTGACCCGATTAACAGCCCTACTCGCGAGCCTAAACAGGCTTAAATGAGCCTATATATATATATATATATATATATATATATATATATATATATATATATATATATATATATATATATATATATATATATATATATATATATATAGACTAGCCGTTTACCCGCGCCAAGCGACGGGT